TGGAAATATGATGCTGCTGTCGGTAAAAAATGAGTGTCACTGTTAAAAAAATCAATTTCTTTTTAATGGTTCACACGCCATATTACATCCAGTTATCGCACGTACATGTAGTATCGATATGTTTATAGACACGATTAATATCGATATGCATATACACGTATATATGTAGCTATTAAAGAATGATGTGCACAAGATTAGCTAGCATTACATAACGTTATGGAATTTGCCCTGCATTGTTTATTTTTTCCGTTTATGGTAAAATTCGGGCCGATAAATTTTTACATGAATATGCATTAAGACTTGGTCATTCCTTAATTCGAAGTTGGAACAAAACATCATTAAAAATTTTGGCAAACTTTGTTCGTTTGCATTAGTCTTTCTTGCTTTCCCTAAATAAAATTGATACAAAATCTGAGCTCGCATCATGTTAATAACATAGTTTTCACTCTGAACACATGAAAATTCCGGCTTCCAATTTCCGAATACGTTAGAAATATCGATTTCTTGCATCAATGCAAAACAGAATGCAAACCTTGTAGAATACCATAATAAGTAAAACAATAAAAAAAATCACGTCATTATTCACGTATCGATATGCAAAGTTTAATGATGCATAGAATAGATCAGAAGCATCATAAGTACTGTGGCAAATTAATAATTCATACCGATAGATCATTTCCATTATAGTAGTAAAAAAATGCTTGTCAGGAAGATAATGCATAGAATAGACAGAAGCATTATTTCCATTATCGTTATAGAGGCAAATTAATAATTCATAGATTATTGGTGGAATAATTAAATTTACACGTTTTCATGTATCCGATGTATCCAAAAAATTCAAACCAATCAAATTAGATTCTGCACTGTATTCACCAAGTTTTTATTAAAATTTGCACGCGTGTACAATAAGCATCGTGCACGAGATTAATTTTAAGTGAGGACATTCTTTATTGACATTTTCAAAACTTAATAAGAAATTCAGTGCTTTCTTTAAAAAAACACAATTCTATTTGTTCCAAACTGCTGAGATATTTCAAAGATGCTTATTTTCGAAATCGAGTCCGCAGTACATTGTCTATTACCCGAACTTATTCAGAAATATTTTTTTGTCATTGAATAATATTGACACTACACTATTCACAGTTTTTATAATGAAAATAGTGAAAGCAATACTCTACAGTATCCTCAGGGGAAGGCAAGGAGAATTTATGAGGGAGGCTATAATGTAAAAGTGAAATGTTCGACGTTAGTTATCTCCGATAGAACGTAAGCTTATATTAAGCTCATTAGCTCTAACTTTCACAAATAGAAAAGATTAGATTTCTTGGTCAATATCAAGGTTAATAATAGCAGTAAATGCAACTTTCTCATAGTTTATTACTTGATAAAGGTAAAACAAAACTTTCGAACAGTGCTTATTTTAACAATCATACACTTGATAAATACAAAATTCTGTCCTATATCAAATACTAAAAAGGAAGGCTGAAATGAATGACCATCGTTATCATTAAACAATAATAGCAAGCAAATGCACGATAGCGATAAATGATATACCAAACGAAATATCGATCAAAGAGAATGAGGGTTATGATGAGGCTTTCAATTTTATCGTGAAAAACAAGTAATTGAAAGGTGTTAATACTGAAATATATATTTTAGAAAACTTTATATAATAAATAATAGTTCTTGTAAAAGAAATTTATGTTACTACGGTAACATTTGGTCCCTCTAAGTAAGATCGAGCTCCAGCGAGCAAAGTTATAGCAAGTAGATACCAGATAAGAAAGAAGCAGTTCTCCAGGCTGTTAAATTCTAATATATGACTTGTAATTGGATATCTATATTCATTAAGAGACATGATTATGGATGTAAGGTTGGTATTAACGATTGATAAAGCTCGAAATTTGCCAAAAATTATTCAAGGTTACAGATAATCGATAGGTCTTGTTGTCAAACTATTTTCTGTGATGAACCATTTTGCTGAAAATTGAATTCGTATTGGCGAGCTGTGAAAAACATATCGTAATTTGGAGGATTATGATCTCTTAAAATTGATCGATACCAACTTCATATAAAATACACGGAAATTCGTTAGCTTCATATGAAAATTTTTTTGCAAAACGATTTTGCCATTTGCACCGAATCTCACTCCGGTGAAATAGTTGTCAAAAATCAATGACAATTCTCCATCAAAATCTCAAACAGTTTATAATCTATCAAGTGCCTTTGAACCACCAATGAAAGTTCTTTCTTCAGCTATTTCCAAAAGATGTAGGAAGAGCCAGACTTTGTCAAGTCCTTACTCTTCGTACGTGTACAAAACGACAAAATTATTATGTACAACTAAGGATAGACCTTCTAATATTGATAGTGATTTTATTCGAAATCTACCACAATATTTAATAATAGAAAGGCAATTGAAATCAATCTACCAAAAGAGACAAAAAGCAATACTTTTTCAAAAAAAGCGGGTATAGAAACAAGAACTCTGATCGAAAATTCTATTTTTTCTATTTGGATCTTGATAGGATAGGACTTTTTCATGAGCAATGTTTAGCATATTTTATTTAGTAAAAAAAATTTAAGATTTTATAAGCATACTTATCGGTAAGCTACACGCATAATCTTACGTAATTAATGAGCTCTAATTGAGGACAATACATGTTAAATAGCTATAAAATCACTTACTGATACAGGTTCATAAATACAAAAGCGAAAAATATTATTTTTATTCGTTCCTGTAATTTTTAAAAAGTGCACAGGAATACATCATTGTCGCAAATTAAATGAAATTTTTGCAGATTATGTACAAAATCGGTAACGGATCCCGAACGAACGACATCTCGGGATTTCGATTTTTCGGCCAGACCCGGCCAAAATAATCATACTAAATAAAAAATTTTGTATAGCTAAATACTATATAAATCTACTGTTACAATTCTTTTATATATCATATTAGAATAATTACTGTGATATTTTATTATAATCTGACACGCCTTTGTGTATTTCATCACATGTGTTTAAGATGAGCGAACTCGAAAGAGAAATATTACTTTACTCAATACATTGTTTAATGTTAATTTTAAAGTCAATCAAGAAAATATTTTTTTTTTACATTAATATTTTATATTCTTTCAATAAAGCCTTATAAATTATATTTTCCGGAGAGCATATAACTTGCAAGCATGGACAAAGAGAACTTTTAAAGACTTTTTTATCATTAAAAGCTATATCTGTCTATATTGTCCATATTATCTCTATCTTTATAGATCTAAACTACAAATATACGGATAATAATGTGAAAAAGATAAACGAAATTTTGTTCTGGATACATGTATGTGATTGCGACACTACGGGAATCTCCAATAATACTCTTGTATTTTATTATAATTTATGTATACTATAGTTATTTGAGATCAATATCTGCTAAAGAGTGACGGCTAATATCTATAAAGACACATCCCGAAACTATGATCATGCATTTAATATAATATTTACTTGAAATTTCTCCTCCAAGCTTTGTATTTTTTCACACAATTTTTTTCACGTCGTAAAAAACCATGTCATGTAACTCAACACGCGAAATTGGAAATTTGATTTAATTAAAAATTAACATGCTGTATAACAAACCATTCTAATAAACATTCTCGCAGCTTAGAATAAGAAATATATCGGTTTTTTTTAGAAGTTGCCATCTTTAGATCTGATGTGTTCTAGTTCCGTTCGTTCACAACAATAATCTTTCACGTAAAAGAATGTTCTTTTAAATGCCAAAAATATACAGATGAATGTTCATATCTGGTTAAACACATGATAGAATAATACAATGTTTAATACGATGTCATTAAAATAACATAGTTTATAAAATATTTTTTTCAAAGCATCAAATTGGTTTGTTTTATTTGCATTAATTTTATAAAGTTGATAAATTAAAACGAATTATTACATGATAAGCTTAATAAACAAAAAGTTAATAAAATGCAATTGAAAATTTCATTCAATAAGCACTTTTTGTAAAAATCACATGCTCGATACATATTCTAATGATAGTAATACATGTAATAAAATTGATCTAGATCCATATTATTTCCAAACGTGTAAGGTAAGAATTGACTTTCCCCAATAGCCGTTAAGTTTGGTTGGTATAAGAGTTCCAATAACTGATCTTCATAATCGTGGTATAAATTATTATCATTAATATCTGATTGGTCTAAACTCATATTATATTCCAACTTATGAAGGAAGGATTGGCATCCTTCGTCAAGGACGTCGTTAAAAGGTGGGATTGATGTCAAGCTTTGTTGCCATGTTAATTCTAATTCCTGCAAAAAAGGAAGTTCTGGCATAATTTCTGCGTTTATCTCTGAACTATCCAAACTAGCTGAAAGATTTTCCATAATTTCGCTTTTTGAAACATCTTTGACTGTGTCGTTATTGATAACCGGATTCTTAGAGTTATTGCTGTGGTTTGAATCCTCGGATCTAGACTTGGAATTCGAGAATGTTCTCATTGTTGTTTTTCGATAGAATGAATTTGGAGTTTCGGACTTAAATTTATATTTAGATGTTTTTATTTTTTTTGATGAAGTTTTATTCAGAGCATTATCCCTAAGCTCTTCCGAAATTTGCTTAAATTCATATTTGATGACGTCGGGAAGAATTTTCCAATATTCAGAAGAAAGTTTTGAGATCTCGTTTGCCTTCATGTGGCAATTTCGTAAACTTAACTCTTGAGTACATACTTTTCGAAAAAGGATAAATGCGTTCGGTGTTTTTTTGTTAAGTTTTCTCTCTTTGGAATTTTTTATAAGTGAGCCAAGAACTTCACGAATAGGAAGAGTTAATTTAAGTTCTGCCATTATTTTTTAGTCGTTACAAACAGAAAATGAGACATAAAATAATTAAGCTTTTTTTCCGGACAAAGGTAAAATAAATCGTTATTTATATAAGCTTTTACAAATCTAATTTCTAAATCTAATTGTAATGTTGTAATTTGCGCGACCAAGTACATGTACGACTTTCTAATTTTCGCCGTACATGCCTATGTTTTTTCATGTGCTTACTAAAATAAGAAGGTGGGAATAGAATTTTTGATGTCGATCAAATTACTGTGTAAATTTTTTTCAAATAAATCTAGGTACAAACGATGGTATAAACTGGTGATTCAACAATTTCTTAATCAATATGGTTTGAAACAAGAAAAATAAATTATTTGAAGTATGCTTAGTATAAACTACATCATCTTTCTCGAATAAAAAGAAAATTTAATTCGACCCAAACGACCCAACCCAATACTATTGAATTCAATAAGTTAACAAAAGTCAAACATTAATGCATAATGCGAAAGCAAAGTTTATCATCTTGTAAATATTGACCAACCCCTTATGGGACACAAGAACCGCCAAATCACATTCATATTATCATGTTAAAAAGAAATAAACAAGATTTTTAGGTATCTTTAAGCCCTTGTCTCACATTATTCGGGATGCTTTAAAAGTAAATACACGATGAAAGTCCGAGATATTAGATCTAGACAAATATGTTTACACAGCCACACCTCGCTATAAAATCCAGTCGGGAGAGAGGTTATATAGATTTACCTCTATATAAGAACATCTATAAAAAAAATTAAAAATTTGGATACTATACACAGTAGTCGTCATAAATATTAAATTTATATATCAATAATATGATAAAAGAATGAATAGAATTACTTGAACTTTGCAAATATATGCTTTTTGATATGCAGAACAAAGTCACTTAAGACATATTGGTATGATCTCTTCTTGAAAATACAATTAAATTATAAAAAACTAATAAATGTTAATAATTTTATATCTTTTTTGATTATTCAATGAAAAAATGTCAGTAATATAATAAACTAGGAAATGGTGAACCATTGTGAGTTCGGAGTGATAAATTTTTTTAATTGGTTTATTTATTTTACCAGTCACGTGTAGTTAAAACCGGAAATTTCATGTTTTTCACATATGACAGAATAATATATAGTTCTTTGCTTATGTTCCGGATAACTTCGCCTATAGTAAAATAATAAGATTACTTAATATTATTTTTAATAATATAAATTCAATCTTGGATCTGATTTATTTTTTGCAATAAATTTTGTTGAGAAGTGCAATAATAAATGTAATTAATAATAATATTTGTAAAATATTTTTGAGCAAACCTGATTTACAGGTTATAAAGAAGATGTGTCTAAATTATCAGTCAATTTTGACAATTTTTTGTAATTTTATATCATTATATCAAAATTCTGAATATTTATATAATGACCACTGTAATGATAATTAAAATATTTTATTATTACATATAATAATAACAAATAATAATTATATTAATAAAAAATTACAAACTACATGTAATTTGAAAAATGACTGTCATTAATCGTTGCACAAGAAATACCAAAATTAGAATGAAATGTACTCAAGAATGATTCATATCGTCAAATATCCCTGAAAACGTCACCAATAAATTTTTGTTAAATATTTAATCGACTAATGATGTGGAAACCCAATACATGTATAATCATGAGTATTTCGAGTTCATTTTATATTTGTGAAGTTCACCATTACTATCAAGTAATCGTTTGTAACGAGGTTTTTAGTCATTCCATAATATGCTATCAAATAACCGTAATCATAGCTTTTAAATACAGTTTGATTCTATTTTTGGAAAAATTTATTGTATTAGAAAAAAGAGCGACTTTCGCTTTTAGAAGATGTCGTGCATAAACTCCGGAGTAATTTGCTTTGAATTGAGTAATTTTTTAACGCAACTTTATTTCACCCTCTCGTTTAAATTTATTTTCTTGATCCCAATTGGAATTCTTTTCTAATAGACGATCCAGCGAGGGAGCTTTATAAACTGACCCAAAATCCCCTTTGCAAGATACTCAACGGTGGTAAATCTTTCAGAAAGGGATACATTCGAATATATTTTTGATATTGATAATTAATTTGGACCAACCTCTATTTAAATTGGGGATATCGAGATCTCCGCTGGAAAATTCATCAGTATAAATGAGTTTGTGATATTTGAAGCAGCCATCGCGGGGAATGATTATTTGACAACTCCAACATCTACTACAAACATGAGTATTCTGAACTAAACACTCATCGCGGTTATTCATCTTCTTGACATTAATAACGACAATCATGAGTATTTGATTTGATCTTTGAGTTAAGGGATAAAACGGGGGATTTGTTAAAATGATACGAGGGATTCATCACTCCCCGAATGTGTCTCACCCTCGTCCAATCATGGATTGCGATCGTGAATTTCCGTGAAACTAGCCGATCTCCATTTTCGTTAAGGTTGGGAGAGTTATACATTTTGATCTTACGATTTAGTGAGGTTTACACCCTAAAAATCACATGATTCGTGACTTTTTTTGTGTTTACAATTACGCAACGAATCCACCCCTTCTTTTATTATAACAACACGAAAAATAGTACTAATCTTCTTGAGTAGGACATCGGGCTCTAGGATTATTTAATCCTACGGCTTATTGATCATTTATTCTTTTCAAATTTTCTAACTCTAATATACATCTAATATTTTTTTGTAATTCAGATATGACGCGTTTATAAGCTAGGTACAGTCAAACCTCGTTAAACCGAACCTGGATAAACCGAAGTTAATTCCGGGAACAGTAATAATAAATCTTCCTTGATAAACCGAATTTACTAAATAAACCTCGATAAATCGGAATTTTTACTAATAGCACCGACCACTTCAGTTTGACTATATTCTCATTTCTTTATTGTTTGAGCTAATGGATATACACACTCTTACAATATATTACCATAAATAACAAAAATGAACTATTATTTTGTAACCCAATATCTCAAAATCCAGTGATCCCATTTAAATGAAGATATTACCATAAGATTTGTGGAATCAGGACATATCCTATGATAATATCTTCATTTAAATGGGATCATTGGATTTTGAGATATTGGATTTCAAAATGATCCTTTCATTTTTATTATTTCTGGTAATATATTGTTATGCGTGTGTATAAGGAGAAGTTTAAATTATATTCAAAGAATTGTTATTTTTAATTAGTATTTAAACTTATATTATTTTTTATAATTATTTCGATAGAGCAAATATATCATCAATTCTTTTGATTTTTGTTCCATAATAGTTTTGATTTTTTATTCCATAGAAGATATCCCTTCTTTGAAGGAATATTATGTGGTTTTTATTGGGTTTCCATATTCATCAATTAAATCTTCAAAGAAAGATTATTGGTGAGATTTTCAGGGATATTTGACGATATAAATCCTTAATCGATTAGCTTAGAGAGTAATCGTGATAACTTTTCTTAGTTATCGGTCCAAAGACTTATCAGATCTAAAATGAGAGTCCTTCGTTCTCTGATGAATCAATCAGTGATCATCGTACTGCTTTGGTTATTTCAGCACAAAGGATAATTTTATTCTAAATAACCACTCCGGCCAAGTGGTTAGATATAATGGAGTATATCCGGAGAGTTTGCTTTGGTTATCTCGGCACAAAGGATTTTTGGTTATAGGGTTATATATAATTATTATTATTTTTTGGGACTCAAATTTGGAGCTAACCTCCTCGTGGTGTGATCTGGATATCATTTAATTGATAAATAATAAGTTCCAATATCTAAAACCTGTATAAAAAATTATCTTACCGATTTGCAAACCACGACATGAACATGTACGTAAATAGTTTATTATTTGTTAATTTGATATTCATACATGTACCAAGTATTGTCAAATATAGGTTTTGCTAGTTCATCAATCGTCACAGGGTTTCATCCGACGAATGTTCATTCGTTAATCCCAGGAGCAAATCGTAAGAGTAAATATCTAAAGATGAAGCAATCATGTCATGTACTTGCGTACTATTACATTTAGGTAAAGGAGAAAACTTACGGTGATGTCCAATATCCGGATAACTACAATATCGACAATTCATAAACCCGACAAATGAAGTTCCGAATTAACAAATCCCATTGAGTGAATCAGACACCAGATGGTTTATGCAGCTTATTTTTATAAACCGTGAATTAATTACATAATGATAAGACTTATCTGTTATATGGACATGTAATATAAATTATGCAAATTGTTTTGAGTTTATCTTTATAAGAATTTAATAAATTAAAAATATAGAGATACAATATATTATTATTATATTATTTAAAAATTGATGAATTAATTCCAATATGAAAATTAGTTATATGATAAATAAGTCATATTAAGTTATATATTTAAAATTTTTTTGACACGAGTTTGTCACACATAGAATTTTGAATCACTTCATGGATTAATCCCTTTAACGTTAATGCTGGAACAATTTGCGCTACTCGATCATTATTTTCATTATTTCCATAATAGGGTAATAATGTGCCAATTATGGGAATAATTAATATTGGCGACCAACAATTAATCAATAACGTTACTACAGCCACATAAGGAATTATGGCCTATAACTTCTTTGGTGATCACCCGATACAAAATAATAATATCTCTTCTTTCGTGAATCTATCCATGCCCCTAGTAAATTTTATTTGTTGTGACTATCAGCTTAAAAAAATTTCTTGAGAAACATATATTTCTGATCGTGTTTGGCTTCCTGTATTGAAGTTTCTTGCGATTCATACTTACCGAATATTCTTTTATTGATCTCATACTGTGCTTTGATCTTATTGTCCAAAACTATAATGTAAAAATAAAATTAGTATAGAAATGGAATTAGTATTAATCAAGAGGCAGATGTTCAGCCTTTAAACATCATGCGCCAGTAAATAGATAAAAATAAATTCTACCTTCACCCAAAATAATTCATACTTCGGTTATGATTGCGTAGGCAGAAACTAAGTTCAAACTCCGATTTTGAACATTATAGTTTTTGATTAGCTGAAACAATCTGGGTCGTTGCTCCCGAAGTAACCTTTGTGACGCGCAATATTGTGTTGTAGGTGATCAGAAACCTTCTCGAAACCCCTTCTGTAGTCTAGAGTAGACTTTTTTTGTTGCTGGCAATCAGGAACCTCCTTTGATCCCTACCTAAATTAAATAATAAACATTTGTAAAGGTTGATTTTGAGTACAAATAACCCAGGAAACCTTTAGAACAATAAAGAAACCCTTTAATTTGTAAAACATTCAGTCTTGCTCTTAATCTTACCTTGTTGCACTTGCCCTCTAAATTCACTAATTTCAGTAAGTGTCCAACATTATCACTCTTATGTTGCATGTTTTTATGACCAGGTCTTCTATAATGATCATATGACTTATGACTGGTCATAAAGTATCATATTCCAACTCTGCATACCGCTTGCAAGACTGATTGCATACAGCATTCCCTGGATACGAATAGAAAATTCGTTACGCGCAACAAATTGTGCTCGTTAGTATAACCAAATTACAGGACATGTATTATGCATTCTATAGATGTCTATTAACAATTTATTTATTAAATGCAAATAAAGGCGGATTCTCGCAGGAATATAGAGGTAACTGTGCTATTCTCTCGCTTTAGATGTTTCTGACTAAATTGTTGATTTCTTATAAAAATTATTCGCTATACTTAAAAAATACAAGAAGATTCTTATGACGAAATCTATGACTATATGACTTAATTATGCTTAATTACAAAGCTCATGAATTTTGTCAAAAATTATATAAAATGAGATGACAAGGCAATCGTACATTTCATGTACAAATATTCAACTGCATAGATTATTTCAACAAAGTATTCGAGAGAATAACCAATAAATAAAATAAACTTATTTTTTATAATATTCTTGGTTGAATAATAGTTCATTCTTTCGCGTGTAGTAATCGATTTTGTTTTTAATTGAAGTTATTACTAAATGTATCTAAATGTATATTAATAATAATGTCTATTCAGAATGTCCAAAGATTTATTGTCTCTGAAAATCTGTTATCTGAAAATATTCTTCTGACTCCCAATTCATGAGAGAAAGCAAAAGTTCCGTATAAAAACTGTCATTTTGTTCTATGTGCGTTAATGTTTCAGTTATGCAAGAGCTCGAGGGACATGGTTCTAACCTCATATCGATATTGAAATTTTGTGAAAAATTTTCCATATAACTCCAGTTCTTAAGTGATTGCGACTCATGAAAGACATCGCTTTGATCGACAAGATTTAAATGGGACGTAAATTCATTATTTTGTTGAGAAGAATAGTATGGTGGTGGTGTTATGGGAGTACTTTCCTCAGAATCTGAGTTGACAGATTGTATGCTAGTACCGATACTTAAAGGAACTGGTTGAACTCTTTCGGAGCGTCTATTCTTTTTTTTCTCACGTTTTTTATAACTGATAATTCTGTTTGGATGAATCTCGTCAACCATTTTAGAAATACGTGTAGCAATTTTTCGATATTCTTCTTTTATTAAGCTAGATTTAGCTTTCCATTTTTTAGATGCAATTGAAGAAATTTCTTTGGCCTGAAGATAATATCCATGGGAACTCAATTCTATGTTTAATGCCTTTCGATAGAGAATGAAGCTATTTGGAGATTTTCCATTAATCTTCTTTGTATACCGGGATATTATTGAATCTAACTGACCATTCAGTGGAAATGGAACGTCGATTTCCTCGATAGATAAGCGCATGGTTAGGCGTGGATTAAAAAATCAATAAAATCGAAATTATTTATTCGTTTTCTGATGAATTCGTCTGATTCTCCGCTGGGTTGATATTTAATGTTTTTTCTTTATAAATTCATAGAGTATTCTTGTGCGAGCTTTTAAGAGTTGATTAATCGAGAAATACTTCTCGGCTGACAAACAAATATTATCTGACATAACTAACTTTTAATTAGAGTAATAACTATCTTTGCTCATTAAGGTAAATTGACTTTTCATAACAAAAAGAGCGTACGAATAACGTGTTTCTATCTTCTTTTGTATAGTTAGTTGTTGTCTTCCAAAAAAAGATTGAAAATATAGCGCCACTGATAAAAAAACGAGTGGTTGTTGAAAACAAAAGCATTTTCTTTTAACGTTACACGCTATACTGAAGACAAAAGCATTTTCTTTAATGTTACACGCTATACTAGTTATTACACGTTATATGTTTCCTTGCCTGCGTTATTGATAGTCTCCTTTTATGGTAAGATTCGGCCGAAAACTTTAACGTTATATGCACCAAGATTTGGTCACAAGTGACGCAAATGTACAAAATATGGCATCATTAATTTAAAAGTTGGTTCAAACATTGTATGCCTTAAATATTGAAGCCCGTATATAATCTGAGCACGCGTCATTTGGTCTGATGCTATTATTAAAATTCCGGCTTCCAATTTCCGAATGTGTTTATGTAGAAATACTATAATAAATAAAAAATAATAGGTGACACCATTACAAAGTTTAATAATGCAAGGAATAGAAGCTTTTCAGAATAATAAAATAATGCATAGACAGAAGCATTGTTTCCATTATAGTGGAAAAATAATTCCTATATTATTTCCATTTTAGTGATAAAAGCTGTTGAATAATAAACCAAACAAATTATATCGAATTTTCTAACAAATCGCAGAGGAATTGAAATTGCTGGGTCGGAAATTTAAATTTAAAAGGTACATGTATGCACTGTTTTAAAATCTTCCATGTGCACTGTACTGTATTCACCCATTTTTGCACGCGTGTACAGAAAACACTGCTTACTTTTAATTGGAAGACATTTTTTTATTGGTATTTCAAAAAATCACAACCTTTTATGCTTCCGTTTCTACAGGTTCATCGATGAAAATAGGTTATAGGCACTACTTTATAGCAACCTCAGGGGATAATTTATGTGTGCGAAAGGGATATTATATGCAGTAGTTATCTATGATAAAACGTATTTTAAACTCAAGTTATCACAGATAGAAAAGTTTTATTTTTTTTAGTCGTTAATAAATCCAACTTTATTTAATTTTTCAATCATATGCTTGACAAATATAAAAAATTTTGTCTTATATCAAATATTAAAGAAGGTTTAACAAATCAGAATCAAATAATCAAACGAAATGCATCAACTTTTTATGGTAAAAGAAATAGAGCCTTCGATTTGGTTATGCACAAAAGAAATAAAGATATCATTCGCTTTGATGTAAAAAGAAATAAAAGCTGAAGACTAGTTGGATAAGAATTTTTATTTAGTTATTTTTTCTTCAAACCACATTGCCTGTCTCTTGGTCCTTCTAAAGCGATCCTTTATATACAGTTTTCATTTTTACACGACTACGTAAATTACAAATGATAATCTAGACAAATTTCGCAGGTTCCTAAAGTTCAACGTGTGAATTTTTATTGATCACAAAATAAAAGAAAAACGTACAAAGTACGAATTTCTTCTAAACGATAATCAGAATCTTGGGATTGTGCGAAGTCTCGATTGGAGAGCTACGAAATAAAAGGATTATTGTTGACGCTACAAGGTAGAAACTCCAATGTAAATGCTGCGGGTCGCGCGAGGATAAGTTAAGAATTTTTATAAGTTTCGAAGTACAAGGAGAGAATTTCGTGAAGTTCTTTTCAAGTATTATAAACCTGTCAATAATATTTTTAATTCCTCGTTACAACGATAACAGTATTAGGAGATACAAAGAGAAATTTTTTTCACACTCTTCCAGAAATTTCCGTAATCACGAGATTTTTGGTTGTGACAGCAACAATACATGTATAATATTTAATGCTAATTTTAGTTTATACATGTAGTCAATCATTTTTTCTTTATAAGTTCTTTCTATGTTCTCTCTATGTTCTTTTTACAAACCATTATAGGTTGTCTTTGTCCATACATGCTTGTGACATGCATATATGGACAAAGAGCTTTTAGAGAGTCCGCCAAGATTCTGTACCACTAAAAAGCTATATCTGGGTTGTAACTTATCTAAAGAACAAATGTATGCATACAATGTGAAAATGATAAATGCCATTTGTTGTGTGACACTACAGAATCTTCGATATTTATTTTATTTTATGCAATATTTATTAGAGATCAATACCTGCCAAGAGGGGTGACGAATATCTACCGATCTCGCCATAATGAGAATTATAATTTTAATTAAAGTTTATGGAGGTTTGAATTAGTTATTCAGCATGCAGTGTCGAATAACTGTAGTATCGGGCAAACGCAGTTTGATTGGTTGATTTTGGGCCCTTTGGAGCCCAGCATCACTGATCAAATTGCGTTTGCTTGATACGTAAGCCACCTTTAGGTGGAGAAGTTATTCGGTATCAAATGCCGAAAGACTGATTTATCTGGCATTCAAATCTTATTGCCGAATACACATGATATTTCACGTGTGATCCATTATAAGATGCCAAATAAGTAAAAATATTCTTTATAATCTAGAGAATAAATTTATTTAATAATATTATTTTATTATTTTTTAAAATTTTTAATTTAAGACAAAAGATAAAATATAGCAATATAAAATATACATAAATAATAATTTTGTGAAGTTGCAAAAAATTTTATTAATAATTGATTAGTATAGACTTAAATATATAATAAAATATAGTAAAAATTGAAATTTTTCTCTCTATATTAAAATTATAATTTTATTAAGAAATAATTTTTATTTTTTATATTAAAATAAAGTTCATAAATTATAGTTTAACATATTTTCTTCAGATTTTTTAGATTTTGTCTGAAAGAGTTATTCTATTACAAAGTTATTGCAAACCTTTTTCTAATTAAATTTCATTTTCACTTAGAAAAATTTTTGCACTAACTTTACAATTAGAGTAACTCTTTCAGAAAAAGTCTAAAAAATCTGAAAAAAACATGTGTTAAATTACAACTGATAAACTTTATTTTGATATAATAAAAAATATTTCTTAGTGAAAATTGAAATTTTTCTCTCTATATTAAAATTATAATTTTATTATGTTTTATTAATAAATTTAGCCCCTGAGTCATTACTTTTGATTGCCACTGTATGTTTATATATAAATTTTGATTAATTTTATTGAAAATATAATTTAATTTAATAAAAATTTAGAATTTAATAAAAATATATTTTAATAAAGGTTAATTAGAACATAAAAATCTAAATTGATTATATATATAATAATCCTACTTAATATCATTTTATAAATATCTTATTAAAATTCTCTTTAATTAAATATATTTAAGTCCATGCAAATTAATTTTTTGGTTTTCATGACATAAAAATTTTAAAAGTGACCCGCCCATCCGGCTTTTAATTTTATTTCTATAAATTTCATCCGGAAGTTTTTATAATAAATAACATATAAAAATATTATAAGTAATTCTGTCTAAAGAATTAAATAAACTTATTCTTTAGAATATAAAGAATATTTACATAAAATTCAATTAGTTTTTCACTTCTTAAAATTATCATTCTCATTATATGTGGCGAGCGCTGTATTTCACTAGAAACCTCCTTCATTGACTCCTTGAGATATGAACATATTTTCTACTCTATATGTAAAAATATGATATTATATTTCTACCTGGGATTTGACATTTCTCTTTCCTAAAATCCCAAGTTTTATTTTTGTTCACAAATTTTTTTTATCATATGCATGTAATTCAGCACGCGATTTATTGCAAATACGAATTCGGAAATTGATCTATGAAAATGCTATATCATCCTTATAGTTGGCACAGTTTAGAATAAGGCGCAAGGAATAAATTGTGCTTTTAGCGAGAAATTTCATTGCAATCTTTATGTCTTTATGTTTATATCATATTGATAAACTAAATTGTTTGTTTACCGTTCGTTACACAACAATGGGTTTAATGCATTAGATTTATTTGTATGAATTTACGAAGGATTTTGTTAATTTAAAAAGTCCATTTTGGTGATACTAGTATTATGTTTTATTTATAGTATCATTTATGGACATATAGGTAATCAAAGAGGTTTCGAAGTCTTGCCTCATATCCGTAAGAAGAAATATATGAATGAACATCTCGAGTTTCTTTCCTTTTTATAGTCTTTGTATAATGTGTGCATTTAGAAAATAAGTTGCTGGATAGAATATATATTTATTTTATTGAATTCATTAAATACTAAAAAATACATCAATTAACGTGAATTTCTTTCGGCTTATAAATAAATGCAACTGGTTTTTGAATAAATTTAATATGTTTATAATAGCAAAAGTTTAGAAAGTATTTCCCAATAATTTTTTTCAGTCATTAATTGATAACACACATCTTTATCTACATTGATCTATAAATAAAATTCAATTTGAAAATTTTATTCCACTAAATACCTTTGTAATAATCACATGTTCAATACAGGTACATATACTAAAGATTATGGTTGGTATAAATTATTATCTAGATCCATATTATTTCCATACAAAGATAAGAATTGACTTTCTTCGCTAAGATCATCTGGGATTGATGACGTTATTAAGTTTGGTTGCCATATCTGATCTTCATCATAGTAGAATAGACTATTATCATTAATATCTGATTGATCTAGATCCATATTATGTCCGAGCGTGTGAGGTAATAGTTGACTTTCTTCATTAGTCGTTAAGTTTGGCGGGTATAAGTGTTCTAATATCTGATCATAATAATCGTGGTATATGTTATTATCATCAAAAACTGATTGGTCTAGACCCAATATATGAAGAAAGGATTGGCATTCTTCGCTAAAGACATCGTTAAAAGGTGGGCTTAATATCAGGTTTTGTGGGATTGATATCAAGTTTTGCTGCCATAATAATTCTAATTCTCGCAAAAAAGGAAATTCTGGCATAATTTCTGTGGTTATCTTTGAACTATCCAAACTGGAATTATCCATAATATCGCTTGTCGAAACATCCTTATCCGTGTCGTTACTGATAACCGGATTCTTGGAGTTATTACTGTGGCTTGAATCCTCGGATCTAGACTTGGAATTCGAGAATGTTCTCATTATTGCTTTTCGATAGAATGAATTTGGAGTTTCGGACTTAAATTTATATTTGGATGTTTTCATTTTTTTTGATGAAGTTTTATTCAGAGCATTATTTCGAAGTTCTTCCGAAATTTGTTTAAATTCATATTTGATTACGTCGGGAAGAGTTTTCCAATATTCAGAAGAAAGTTTTGAGATCTCGTTTGCTTTCATGTGGCAATTTTGTAAACTTAACTCTAGAGTGCATACTTTTCTAAAAAGGATAAATGCGTTTGGTGGTTTTTTATTAGACTTTTTCTCTTTGCAATTTTCTATAAGAGATCCAAGAGCTTCTCGAATAGGACGAGTGAATTTAATTGCTTCCATTATTTTTCAGTTATTGTAATAGAAATAGTTTTTAGTTATTTTTTATTATTTGAAGTTTAAATTAGCAAAGAGATCTTAGAAACACTAACGCTAACAGCTCAGTTTTATTTTATATTAGAGTTCTTGTGACCAATTTCTAGTATTACAAAGCATATCAGCGCCCGATCGACTTCGAAATTAATAACTCTATTTCTACCTACTTATTTAGGTATCGGTATGATGTACATGTACTACAGTATTTCTCAAGTGTATCTTGCTCGAATAAAAAAAAAGAACATTAATTCGATCCAAAACGACACACCCCCAGAAAATTATTGAATTTAATAAGCTAACATTAATGCATAATACAAAGTAAAGTGAGTGTGTACAACATTTCTCTGTTCAAGGAAAACAAAAGATTAAAACTGTAACTACTGGCAAAATCCTCTAATTGAACATGAAAACCGCCAATCAAGCTATACCATACAGCCGTGTTATCTAAAGAACGGGATTTTTAAGTTTACTTTTGAGCTCTTCTGACACATTTTTCGGCTCCCCCGTTTCTGTGTAACGGGCGGATTCGCATACTAGACAAAAATATTTATAAAGATATCTATAGCTGGTTTCGAAGAATAGAGCGACTTTCACTGTCTAACAATAGAATATCATACAAGGTATTGTCTCAAAAATTATTATTATATATGTCGAATACTTATTTCCGTATAAAAAATAATTCTTGTTTGGCTGCAGGCAATTATAACATTGACCAATGGAGATATAACCCAGGTACGACTGTATCAATACATATATGTTTAACTTATAAAAGTTCGTGTGATTCACATACGGACTAAAGGTACCAGCCATAATATTTGTAATTGCAATCTTGTGGCTGATGTCCATAAACCGCAATTGGTAGATATCCCAACATGGCAAAAAACATGATTTTTAAGGAATAAACCAATCAAACACAAATTAATAGCATTTCGTTTAGAATTAAGTTTTATTTTAGGTTATATCATACGTGAAGGTCTGAAGTAGAATTTCGCAAGGAGAGTTTTTGTTATATCAAAAGAAAGTAATTTCATAGGCAAAATTTCAAGATACAAACCACATTGTGGTGCGTCATATGATAGTTAATCAAACTATGTCAGGTACCATAGTGAAAATTAATAGTACAGATTTTAATTGACAAATCGTTGAGTGTTTTTACTAGTCCAAGATTAGTATTCGAAAAATTGTTCATTTCGTCTATTAACCTTTTTTTCTAGCAAATTTTGAAGAAAACAATTAATGTACTGTAACAAAATGGAATCACGGTGTAAAATATTTAATTAGTTAGGTGTTTTAAATGTTATGTTAGGAAGAGCTTTGCTTTGTTAGCGATACATCCTTCTAAGCTAAAAAGTAAATCGGCTTTGTTTTGAATCGGCTTTTGTTAGAAAAATTTAAAACCGTCACTTCAAAGAAAAAGTTTTTATCTTCTTTTCATAATAAATTTTATCATCAATTTTTATGCTAGTTCTAACTCTGAACCTTTTTGAAACTCGAATATACCTAATCCTCAACAAATGGGACTTAAAACCCATCCAAACATGACCGATTCTACTGACAGTCTAAAATGTATCTTTCGGTAACAAAATTGACGAAATTCAAATAACTGGTGAACAATTAAAAAATACTCGAAAAAAGGAGATTAACATCCCAGTCAGATATCCAGCAAGAACAAGCCGCAGATAATCCTTTTAAGGAAATTTTTTATGTTTTTAAATTTGAATATCAATATAGACGTAACAGTTGTAATCAGCAATCATGTGCAAATACACACTTTGACGTTGAATTTAACTCAAATTTAATAATAAAATAAAAAATAAATTACTTTATAGTGTAAACCCAAATTATAGTTATCGATTTATTTATTTGGTGCAAATTAAATAGCTTTTCAAAAAACTGTCTTTTTTAAGTTATCATATACATGTACATATACATGTAATTTATCGATATAATAAAATTGATCGATAAAAAAACTGCACAATTAATTTTTATTATGGTACCTGACATAGTTTTGATTACATATAATTAGTACATGTATATGATGCACCCCAAAGCTACATGTTTGTTTGAATTTTTCCGCGATTTGATTGGTTTACCCCCTTAAAAAATCATGTGCGCCAACCTCTTGCCATGACTAGGGTGCCGTAAAATTACCATATAGAATATCCCGCGTTGGCAACTAAAAAAATTATTCGTACCCGGAGTGCAATGTAAAATGAGAGTTCATTAAATGAAGGATATTATATTATTATGCTCAATTCGAAAGTTAGGGTTATGGTAGTAACAAAGGGGCGGGAATTAGACTGGATGTTTACGCAAAAATGGGTTTCATTGATATTGATATTAAAATTAAAATAACAAGAAAAATGAAAAATTCTGTTAAAATTATTGCATAATTTAAAGCAAATCACTTAAAATTTATATGAGATGTAAGATTATTTATTTATAGTTATAACAAGATAAAATATTAAGTGAATAGTTCAATATACAAAATACTTATGATTTTATTATTTGAATGGTATTCAGATCTGAGAATTAAAATACAGAATAAAAGTAATTTATTTATATAGATAAAATAAATATGAAATATGAATAAATTAGTAATTTAAAATACATGTGAGTTGAACATAATTAATTAACTTAATTCATATTTCTAGAGAATAATGAATACTTAATTCAATAAAATAATGATAATTAATAATAATAATAATAATAATAAATAAGAATGAATAAGAATGAATAAAAATATAAAAAGAATAATTAAAAATTAATTAAATGTATAATAATCATCTGTATATCTAAAGTGAATTAATCTTCAAATAAAGTAATACAAAACTAAAATATAGTACTAAGAGCACGAATAAAGATTTAAATTAAAAAGAATTAATCCAATCAAAATTGTTACATATCCCTCTACTTAAAATATAACATCCTTATTATTTTTAAGTATGTAAATTTTCAAAGATATTAATCTTCTTCATGATATTTTTCAAGTTTTCAAGTAATTTTCAGGTAATATTATAAAGAGAATAATCTAGCTATTTGACAAGATATTGGAATTTATAATAATAAATTCTTTTATTAAAAATATTTTCTATTTCATCTTCATATTCTTCTTTATTATCTAAGATAATAATAACAAATAATAATATATATTTATTAAATTTATCATCTGGATTATGTTTATTAAATTTATTATCTGGATTATATTTCTTTAATAATAAAATATAAAATATTAGATATATATTACTCTTGGAAAAGTATTTGATTAACAAAAAAAATATTTATTTATTTAATTTTTTAATACAAGTATGATATTTAATATTCTGTAGGCCATCCTTGATTTCTAATGCATATTTTAATTCTATATAACATACTTTCAATAAGTTTAGTATAAATTTCAGATAGAATTTTTCTCCATTTTTCTTGTAGTACTTTTTCAAGTTTATAAAGATTTGTTAATTGTATAAAGCATTTCTTATGTCTTTATTTAAGTTTACTTCATAAATATTTGATTGGATTAAGATCTGAAAATTGAGAAGATCAATTGAAAAATATCTTAATTTGCTTTTGAGCAATCTAATTTTTAATATCTCTTGCTATATAAATCAGAATATTATTATTTTGAAATATATAAGATTATTTATGATATTTGGATTAGATAAATAGTAGTAAATTATTTTCTAAAATATCAATATAATCTAATCATCAAAATCAGAAGATTTATTTAAAAAATTTTATTATCTAGTTAATATATTCAATTTTGAAAATTTTAAAAAATGCTTGATCAAATACTTTTCTGAGAGTAGTATAGTTTTATATTATTTAATAATTGCAATTTATAAATAATAAATGATATTTTACTAATAATTTTAATGAATTTAATAAATTTTAATATAAGTTTCTTGATTATTTTTTATTTATTTACAGAAATATTTATATTATAAATAAAAAAAGAACTTGATCTTTAATAAAAAATCTTTATATCTTCTATATTAATTTATATATTTTAACTATCTGTCTTGAATATCAAGTAATAAAATCTTTAGTAATCTTAATTATAATATTGAGAGATTTTAATATTATTATTTAATAATAGAATAATAATTAAAGTATAAGATACTTATTCATAATCTAACTTAAATAATATATATCTAATAGAAACTTATTTACTATTATTTTAGATAAATTTAATTATTACTAAATTTTTATCTTATTAATCTTATTTATATATTATATATATTTTGAATATTTTATTTAATACTTTATTAAATCTTTTATTTAATTATTTATTATAAATAAAATATTATTGATATTATTAATTTTATTCTAAGTTATTCAAATAATAACTTTTAAAATTTGCTAGTAAACTTAATATTTCTATCTGATATTATTACTAATATTATATTATTATATATATTAATATAAAATATATACTTATTAATAAAAATTACTATTATATTATATTCAGACTTAATAATAGAAAGTTAAATTATAAAGTCTATAATAACTTATTCTTATTTATATTTTAAATAGCAAGAAATTAAAGTAATTCAAAGAACTATTAACTATTACTTTTATTATACTAACAAAATATATAATAATAATATATTTATAAATATTTTTATTTATCTTTAATTAATAAAATTATTAAAAAATAAGATATATATCTTATTAATATTTATATATTTAATAATTAATAAATTATAAAATTTATATAAAATCTTTACTAATATCTTATTATCTAAAATAATTATATGATTTATATCTTTTAAATATAAATTTTTTAACTCAAAATGATAAGTTTTTATTTATTA